TCCAGACCCATCTCGGACCACTTTCCAATCTGCCTCGTTGCGGAAGGGATTAAATGGGGTCCTTGCCCTTTCCGTTTGGATAATAAGTGGCTCCATGTGAACAAGCTTAGAGAAATAGTGAAACAGGTTTGGATTGACCATAGTGTCAAAGATAGAGCCAGCTTCAGGTTAGCTTCGAAACTGAAGGCTTTGAAAATTGAAGGTAAGTAGTGGGTTAAAGAAGAGAGTTATGCCGAGGAATTTAGAACTAATGAACTTTCATAGGATCTGGACATTCTGGATAGTAAGGAGAGGGATGGTGGTTTATCTATGGAGGAAGGCAAGGAGAGACGGAGAGTATGAAAGAAGATAACTGATAGGTTGAGCATGGAAGAGGTATCCTGGAGACAGAAAACTAGGCAGAAATGAATTAAGGAAGGGGATAGCAACACTAAATATTGTCATGTCGATGAAATAATCTTTGATGAAATAAATATATAAGGCAATTAGAGACTTAGGGAAATGGCTGAATCCCACTTCAAAAAACTATACAATGAGGATTTTAGATGGAGACTGAAACTTGATGGACTTATTTTCCAGAAGATTTTTGAGGTTAGCAGAACTAATTTAAAATTGGAGCTTTCTGAGAACGAGATTCTTGAAAGCCTAAGAGATTGCGATGGGGAGAAAGCTCCGATTCCAGATGGATTTAATATGTATTTTCAAGAATTTTGGCCCGTTGTGAAGAATGATGTATTGGATGTCTTCAATGAATTCCACAAGGCTGAATCTTTTACGAACTCTTTTAATTCCACATTCTTGACCCTTATTGCAAAGGTTGAAGGGGCTAAGCACATTAAGGACTTCAGACCCATTAGTTTAGTGGGTTGCATCTACATGTTAATTGCCAAGGTCCTTGCTAGGAGATTGGTCAATGCTTTGAACCGGATAATTGGTCAAAATTAGCATGCTTTTGTTGGGGAGAGGTAAACTTTGGATGCGGTCATGATTGCTTCGGAAGTTGTGGAGAGTTAAACAGTAATAATAAAAAAGAGGATCCTGTGTAAACTAGACATGGAAAAAGCTTACAATCATGTGTGTTGGGGTTTCGTGGATTACATGTTTGACTGGTTTGGCTTCGTTATGAAATGGAGGAGATAGATTTCCGGTTGTATCACTTCCCCTTTGTTTGCTGTGATGGTGAATGGCAAGTCATCCTCTTTTTTCAGATTGTCCGATGGTTTGAGACAGGGGGATCCGTTGTCTCCGTTGCTTTTCATTATGGTGATGGAGACATTGAGTAAACTGTTGGAGAAGGTGAAGGAGGTTGGTCTGCTGCATGGTGTCCAGATTGGGAGAGATAACAATCAGATTGAGATAAGAACCCATTCTTTCAGATGACTCCTTAATTTTTTGCCAACCAGAGCATGAAATGTTACTGAATTTAAGATGCATTCTCCTTTGTTTCCAAGCTGTCTGGATTAAATATTAATCTTGCAAAGTCTAAGTTAGTGATTTTTGGTGAGGGCAACAAAGGAGCTGGCTGATATTCTGGGGTGCAAATTGGCAAATCTGCCCATCAAATATCTTGGTATTCCAGTGGGAATGAAACATAAAGATGAGTATCTGGGATCCCGTCATGAGCAGATTCGAGAAGAGATTGGGCTGGAAGGAAAATCTACTCTTCAAAAGAGGTTGGCTTGCCCTTGTCAAGAGCACTTTATCAAAGCTGCCTATTTACTACTTTTCATTACTAACAATTCCTATCAAAGTAGCCAAGAGACTTGAGACTATTCAGAATCGGTTCTTATGGAGTGATGTGGAGGATAACAGAAAACACCACGTGGTGATGTGGAGCGAGGTGAAGCTTCCTGTTGAGAGAGGGGGTTTGGGAGTGAGATCCTTATTTGAAATGAACTTGACTCTCCAGGGCAAGTGAATTTGGAGATATATGAGTAATGAGAACTTTCTCTAGAGAAGGGTGATTGATGCGAGATGGGGGCAGGGTGAGGGTGATCTGATTCATGTGGAGTTGGGGAGGCCGTATGGGATGAGTTTATGAAAGGCAATATGGGCTATAAAACATGATTTTTTATTGTGCATCCTGAAAGTGGATAGGGGGGATAAGATTCTGTTTTGGCACGATAATTGGATTGATAGTGGCTGTCTAAAAGATTGGTCCCCACAGATGTATGCTATTGCACAGACGAAAAACATGAGAGTGATTGATGCTGGTGAGGGGGGCTTGAATAGAAATGTTGGGGCGGTGAACGTGATTAGAAATTTAAATGGTTGGAAAGTGGAGGAGTACAAATATGTATTAAATAGGCTGGCTAATGTGCAGTTAAACTAGAGCAATGATAAGCTGGTGTAGAAGCTGAACAGAAATGGATTCTTCACAGTGAAATCTCTCTAAGTCCCTGATACATAGAGGGGAGTAGCGGACAAAATTTCCCAGCCAGGAATGGTGGAAAAACAAAAGTCCACCTAAAATTGCTTTCATCACTTAGGAAGCTGGAAGAGACTGTATCTTAACAATGGATAATCTGATGAGGAGAGATTGTATTGGAGTTAACGGGTGCTACTTATGCAAACAGGCTGCGGAATCTTGCAGCCACCTTCTTCTATGGTGGCTGGTGACTTCCAATTTGTGGTCTATGGTGTATAACTTAATCAGGATCTCTTGGATTATTGCAGGTTCTGTTAAAGAGGAAATTTGGGCTTGGGGAAACCTATGTAAACAACAAAACTATTCTTTTAACGATTTTTGGGTGATTTGGAAACAGAGAAATAATAGGGTTATTGAGGGTATTGAAAATGATATTCATAAATTATGGATAGATAGTTTTATTATTTTGAGTAAAGTGTTTTGGGCCATGATCTATATAGGGATGATAATTTTGGGTACATAGTTGACACACTGACAAACTTGTAAATTTTTATAAATAGATGGTACTCTCTTGGTAGTAAAAAAAATATATTCATTCTTAAGATAACCTTTTGAATTTTGACTTCTGTTGGCGAAGCAAATATTGTCATCTTTCTCAGATGTGGTTGGATTTAAAAACTCAAATATGGGTCTCCTTTATAACTTGTGCAATGTGCAGTATACTCATCATTCGTGATCTATGTATTGTATGCATTATTTCTCCCCTCAGTGGTATAATGCTAGCTATGATTGGGAAAGTGCACTTCAGCATAACTTGCTAACCCAGTCTAGTTGTTCATTACAAGCTCCTGGAGTATCTCAGTGGAAATCATTACCCGCCCCAGTGAGCATTTATCTGTTTTGTTAACCAATGACACATGTACCAAGTAAGTCAAGCTAACCTTGTATAAGTCTTCCATGGAATAACTGCTTCGCAGGTTACCATCAACAACAACTTCTAAAGCACTCTCTGGGTTTTCATCTTGGAAGACTCTATAAATCTGGACATGGATAGAAAGAAACATAGCATCATCCGTCATAATTGAACTAAAATATCAATGTGATTGTAATGAACTAATTGCCAATTTATAGGTTTAGATGAAGAATTATTTTCTTTTGTTTCCACAAACTAGATATTTTTGCATGCAAACCCTGCCCTATGCAGTTCAGGAACAAATTTAATTCATTCTAAATATCTATAGCGGAGTCTACAAGGATAACATATGAATATAAGAGGAGCCAAATTTAATGAAAAAAAATACAAATTCAAGTGTTTTGAAATAGGTTCATTTGCATGGGAAATGGCGTTGGGTCATAACTACATCAGAATTTTCTCAATCTCAGCTAAATGCTATTCCCCATCCATGAAGAGTTAGTTGGCTTACAACTGTAATGAGAGATTTCATCTTGTTGGACTCTCGATTGTCACGTGTAAGTGCACGTTGACCTGTTATGAGCTCTGCAAGAACCACTCCAAATGCAAATACATCTGTTTTGGGGGTCACCTGTAGCTCCTTTAGAGATCTTTTCCATAGACAATAAATATTTAGAATGATGATTAACTGAAAAAGATTGTTTGCATGTGGACATGTGAACATTGGAAGGTAACTTTTTAGAAAAAAAAAATTAACTAAAAGGTGACTTCATTCTTTTTCCATCTTAGTGCATTCTAGAGAGTTGCAATTGGATGATGGTAAAAAAAGCATTGCACTTACTCTGGGG